TTAATGGATCGAGGTACACCAATAAGCAAAAATCTTAAAAGTGGTGGCATCAGCTTGAGTGCAGTTCTAACTTAGTTTGGGTTGGAGTTATGTGTAGCTATCAAAGAATGGGATGACTTTAGCATTCGAGGCTGTAGTGATATTTATGAGTTGTGGATATTATCTTAATTGATCTAGCCACTCTAAATCCAAAATGCCTATCACTGAGACTCCTCGCAAAGGAAGAGCTGCTATCGCAGCTTGGAGAGACATGAGAAACTCTCGTGCTACGGTAATCTGTAACATAAAGCACCGACAGCTCAAAAGAATGCTGGATCCCATACTAAATAGCATTTCTCCAATCCATCAATCAGACATAGATAATAAAGGGTCCCATACAAACCAGATCGCAAGAAACAATCAGGCAGCATTCCAACTAATATCACAGACAAGATCCACCATATCAAAAAAAACTCAGCTGTAAGACAAAAATCCCATTAGTAAATAGAATTTTCGAAGGTGTTTTAGATGCTTTCAGGTCTTCCTTCAGAATTACAATTTAAATTCTACACCAGCCTCTATATATTAATTCTTTTTTTCTATTTTCTTTTACACAAACATTTTTACAAGAATCATCTTTACTCATATTGCACGACTACTTTATATCATATTCATCTTGTGGAACGAAAATGAAATCTCCACTTTAGCCTCCACAGAAATCTCTATATATTCCGACTATTAGAATATCCAGTCGAGTGGGTCAATATGTTTATCACTTAGAGTTCATCTATTAATAATAGGTAAAACAAAATAATTTATTTTATACCATCAGATAGCATATCTATCAAATAGTAGCTCTGTTTGTGGGCGGCTTTAGATAGAGACAAACGCACCACCATGCAACCCGCACACGGAAATCTCACAATAGGTAGATGAGTAGCATGACATATGTAATAATGATTAATTAGTCGAGAAAAATCAATATAAATAAACTTCCATTTATATTGTGAAATTGCCTCTCATCCATAAGAGCTGAAGGATTAGAGTGAGATCATGATCACATTGATCGCCCACCCAATATAATTCAACACACCTATTTTACATTGCTTTCCATCCGCAGAAGTGTGTGTCTGACGCAACATTAGGAATCACATTGCCTCAAAGTATAACATTGGTCGTTAAGGCAATAAGGTGGGAGTTCTGTAGAATAAAATTCATCCCTTTGGGCAATAGAGAGGAACCTCAACATTATCTATGTTTTGAAAGCTAATCCATCTGAAATAGGAAGAGCTGATATT